CCCACCCAAGATTCCCCTCAGTTCCTGCAATTTGTCCGCCGGGCACGAGAGTTATACAACAATAAGATACCCGTGACGGACAGAGGGGAGGATGGGCGGGTAGTGTGAATTCACAGAGGTCCACTCGAAGAACCATGGTTACAGGTAAGTAACCTTTCTTTTTTGCAGTGCAAAGATTTAGGAATGGCTGAGTCTGGAACAGGCAGCTAAGATCAGAGCTTGATCATACCATAAAATTGTTACTTTTAGCTCTGGAATGCTCCGAGAATGTCAGCGCAGGCGCAGACTAAACCCATATGTGTGTATTCACAGAGGCCACGAAGAAGAACATATTAGTTCATAACACTACTGTATATTGTTGGCAAAATGTATTACCACCCCATCCCAGTTATTGTGAGGATTCCAGCTAAACTGAGAGGGAACAAAAAAAGAGAATGACAGGAGATAATGTATCATCCTTGTTCATCAAAAAGTACTTGCTTTTGATTTCATCCAGTAGACATGGGGAAAGCTGCCATTTTGCAGCATCTGAATACTTGAGCCAGTAGTTATTTATGCAGTAGATTTACATCCTGACTTCCTTCCAATAAGCTCAGAGCTGCACAGATTGCTCCCATTTTCTCCATTTCATCTTTGTAACAAGCCTGTGAGTTAGTTCAGTCCGAGAAAGAATAGCTGTCCCAAAGTCACTCAGTGACTTTCATGGCCAATTTGAACCCAGCTCTCCCGAGTCTGGACAGCTTTCAGCATGATGACTCTCAATAGTCCACTAACTCTGTTGGCTAGGGACTGTAGCCCAAAAAAGGAATTTTTATTTTTTTCACCCCTTTTGCACTCCATCACTGTCTGAAAATGTGTAACCCAGAAGCCTTAACATCTTAGCCTATCACCTCATTGTGCATGATGTGTGGAACTGCTGTCAGTGAATTGTTTTACTGCCCAAATTCTTCTTACCTATTCAGGGAGTACATGCCCTCATTTTGTAGTGTATTTTAGCACTCAGACTCAATAAATCAATCTTTACCTTTGCAGATTTTGTTCCTCCTAGGGCTCTACTTTAGGGGAAGAGGCTAGAAAGTATGCATGCACTACACCCCATTTGACTGAACTGGGCAATACCTGGCAGATGTGGCCTCATGACATTGTTACAAAGAAAAACCTGGTGGCAAAAATAAAATAAAAGGAAGATGTAACTCAGTGGGACATACTTCTGTGCTAAGTAATGTTTAAAGTCTGGGATATTAAGAATTGGTGGGAATGCACACTGTACACTGCTTGTCTGGGAAGTACCTTAAATGCTCATACTGACACCTGCTGGGGAGTAACAAATTGTAGCATTATGTCAAGAGGCCAGCTGATGTTTACTAGCAGACTGATCGCAAAAGAGTAAGTACTAAGGTAAGTGACGGTATAGTCAAAGATTTACAAACACCAGAATATTCGGGCATATTCCCCTTTAAAAGCACCACTACTTCTAAAAATTGAACTCAATAGGCAAAGTGCTACAGAACTGTTACCAGAACACTGGGGACATTGAAAAACATGGAGGTATCACCACATATGAAGGTGTCCCAAGGCTCAAGAAGTATGCCTTCTTAAGAGTCTATACAAAACCAAAAACAAGTTAAGGGAATGCTTGAAACAATCAAATGAGGATTATGCATGCTTAATAGCATACAATATCTGCAGGGCAAAAGCACATGAAAAATCAGAGTGATTGGGCACAGATTGTTTTGGAAGAGGGCATCACTGGCTGGTTGGATGGCACACTGAATACCATATTTTTTTCATTTATAACATGCCCACATTTATAAGAAACCACCCCACACACAGTTTTCTAACTCAAAAATTAAGAAAATTTAGATTTGAGGATTCAGCCTCTGGGCTCAGAACGCTTGGACGTTTTGTCTCTGTTGAATCTTGAGCCTACAGGCTCGACCTCCAAGAGGTGTGTTCCAATTGGTTTGTCCAGCATCAGCTGACATCAGTTCCATAAGGCTCGTGATTGGAGGAAGCTAAGTCTCCTGACTGTAGGAAGCCTGTTTGCAGAGGCAAGGTACGGGCCGTTTTATTCTCTCCTCAGCTATCTCAGCTTACTTCCATGTAAAAGACGCACCTCAATTTTGAGCGCAATGATTTTAGGAAAAAGTAGTGTCTTATACATGGAAAAATATGGTACTTTTTGTTGCAGCTCCTGCAATGAACTGTATTCACTAATTAATATGCTCTCTTCTATGACTGTGTAAGACAAAACAGGTTTCCTAGAAAGAAAAGCACAAATAAAATGTACTTGACATAGCAGCATTTAAATGCTTATTGCTCTTGACCAAAATTTGTTCAATCTAAGCCTGTTCACATATCACATCATCTTCCTTCATTTCTCAGCACAAGTCAACTACCTATTTGGATGAGAAGCATCACCTGTAAACAATTCACAGGACAGAGGGACAGCAAATTCTATGTAAAATGGAACTCAGAACTTTTTACTATCATTTTGAAGACCTCAGTTAAACATATTGGGTAGATGATGAAGGAACAGAGGAACAATCAAAGTTCTTATTAGCTTTTGTGTAGCTTTAATACAAATTCACAAATCTCTTTGTACAATATTTTAATCTTGATGAGAATGACAGATTTACATAACATGATACATACATGTTCATTAATCAAAAACAAGCACAGCAGAGTTTTAAAAATTCAACTTACATGTATTCTGTTTGGAAACATGCTAAAACTGTAGACATGGATGTACAAATCAATGGGAATGATAGGACACAAAAATTATTACAAACCAGATTTTTCCTCACAAAAAGCCTGAAAGATACATAGGGCAGTCATTGTTACAGTTTTTGGACATAAACATTTACATTGAGAAATCATGATATCCCCAAACCATCCATGAATCTACGGTGAAACAGGTATCAAGACAACACTGTCCAGAAGCTATATAAACACTTTCTTTGAAAATAAATGATATACTTAAAATGTATACTACTGAAATAGAAATTGTTTGTGCTTAAAGAACAGATAAGCAATATGAGGCCTAAGACCAAAAAATAAATTGTGTTTAAGATAGGCACACATCCCAAGTACATTTTGAGAATTGTATTTAAAATGGAGCCCCCCCCCCCATTTATTTATCCGAAATTTGGCAGGTCTGATCTCTTTTGTGTCAGCTACATGAAGAACACAGAAATTATAGGCAACAGAAAAGTAACTTTGTCTTCCATGAAGAAAAGTAGAAAACAAATAACGAAATAATGAAAATAAGATGTCAAAGTCACAAACTAACAATCCCGAACAATTTTAACAAATTTACAATGTCTTCATTTTCAAACAAATGGATGGAGTAACACTTTCCTTTATGCCCACTCACTCCTAGTAATAAGAAACTGAAGGATGGGATAAAATGAAACACAAAGAGGCCTGACATAAAAGGTAAATCAGACAGACATTTGAGAAAAGAAGAAGCAAATGAAAACAATAACAGTTCAAAAGCGCAGGAACAAAGAACAAAAAATGTGTATTATGTTAGTCTAAAGGCAGACGTACTACATAAGCAAGGAGACCGGTTGGTGGAAAACTACAGTGACCCAAAGGAGGAAAGAGAGTAAACAAGGTGTAAGTGGCTCATGATTGGGGCATTACCAGCTCAATCTGTAGGGGAAGCGACACGTTTTATACCCTTGTCCACAAATGGCCTTTGAGGTCAAGTGTGGCTGGACTGCAACTCCCATCATTCCTCACTGCTGGCTTTTTAGACTAGAGCTCACATGAGCTGCACTCCAGCATGATCTGAAAGGCTGCACTGTAGGCAGTGGAATACAAGAAAAAAGAAAAACAGGAAATTAGCGATGGAAGCATAAAGCTAGAGAAAGAAGGAAATGGAACGGTGGAATCTCAAGTTAGGTACAAAAGGAACTGTGAGCTATTGACATACAGAGAGTAGTCAAAAAAGGAAATTTTGAAACTGGCAGGTTGTGAAGTAAAAATGCAAGGGGAGCAGAGGCTGCCATGTCCAAACAGTTGGAGCCTGGCAGCCATGTCACTGAGAAGTGCAGCTGTCATGGCTGAGTCTGCATTTCCTCCTATTCCACCCTCTGGGTATGAACCCCATACAAGGGACACAATGGTGGTACCACGCTTTAATATTACTTTATTAGAACAAATATAAAACTCAGGTACAGTATTGGTGTTTAAAGGGGACTATAATTATAAATGCTTGTATCGACCCCAAGAACCCACATTGATGGGGCAAAAGATACCTTTTAAATTACAGGAGGAGTGGAAAATCTGTGACCAGATTCCCAGCATCCTACACAGCACGGCTAGTCACCACAAAATCACTGGAATTGTATTCCAACACTTTCTGAAGGGCCAGCGGCTCCTTGTTCCTGCTCTAAAATGTCTAAAAGATATTTTTGTCATAAACTATGCATACTTTTAATTTACTGCACTACTAATCTATGTGTTCATTGGTGCGCTCACACAGCCATTTGAAAGTCTACTGTGCACTGAAGAGGGATTTCGTTAGCAGTTCTTTCTCCACCACCTTCTACTGTGTGAAATGTTTTAAAGCCGTCTGTCCCCCACCCCCCAAACCACAAGAGAATTAACAACATTCCAGAATGCCTCAGTTTTGGCAAGTGCTGTTTTCAGTCCAGGTACCAGATGATGATTGATGAAGCTGTCAGCCCTTACGGTAGTGGACAGAGCAGCTTGGCAGAAGTTCAGTGTTATTGAAAGAAATCACAAATACTTATTCCATCTCCTCTGCTCACTTTAATCACATTATCAACAGGCTGCCAGGATGGAGTCTTGACACTATGCCATACATTCGCACAGGCAACCATTGTTGGCCTACTGCAGTTGAAACAGAGATAATGAGTAATTTTGTTTTACATGTTTCTATTTTACATACTGCCTGGCTGTTAAAATAACACTTGATTTTCCTGTTCCTTGCTTAGCTTGCCCCTGCTTTCATCCTGTTTTTAAGGAAATTTTTTTAAAAAAAGGTTACAGAAGGCTAATTAAGGAGCATTCCCTCCATTATGCTAATTTTGCATGCTTTGTAGTAACGACTGGATATATGAAATTCTGCATCTCATACAACTGTTCATCCACACCATTAACAACAACAACAAAATATGTCATCCCTGTTTGACATAAAGTACTGTCACAGATTTTAGGTATTACTGTCCAATTATGATTAGTACTTCATACAATGAACTGCCAACAAGACAAATATATATTGGGAAGGAAATTAGAAGAATACTTTTAAAAGCAGGTTAGGTCTCCATCTGTTTCCATCATTCTATTTCATTTCAACAACTTGTCAAAAAATATCACTCTTTCCAAGTGACATTTCTGTTGGTGACATTATTCCACAAAGAAGCCGTTCATAAACCTTGGTGCACTGCACGTCTACAACGCTGTGGAAGAGAGAATCACAGGAATTCGGCAAACAGTTGTGCTTCTTCCCCTCATCTAACTAGCCAAATTCCGAGTGACAGGTCGTTCAAAAAGGCTACATGAAGAACAACAGAGATGTCCAGTATAAGACAGTGGACTGATCAGTGCAACCCGTGTAGTATATTAAAGAGGAATCCTGTGGGTATTCCTCTGCATGTTTGGTTCTTTAAAAAATTAACCCTGAACATAAATAATCATTCAATGTCAAGAGATTAATTTCTCTTGTTTCTGAACTTTCTTAAAGAGTTCTTGATATGCACATTATGTATTGCTGTTCATCCCAAAACTGGGAAATGTTGGAATAAGATGGGAATACTGTAAACAAGGAACAGTCTTACTGTGAATAAAGAGTTTCTTAAGCAGCATATTTTGCCAAATCCTTTTCCATTGCATCATACTGTTCTTTGAGGCGCTCCATAGCTTTTGTGTGCTCTTCATCCACAACCACTTTTATATTCTGCTGCTCCTTCATGAATTCCTCCCATTGTGCTCTACGTTGTGTTTCTCCAGTCATTCGCTTCTCAGTTTGAAGCTTCAAAGAAAAAATAGGAAGGGATAAATGTGTTTTCTAGAATATAACAAGATATTTATAGTGCAGGTTATGGCACCAATAACTGGAGAAAAAAAAAGAGAAACAACTATAAGAGAGGATAACTCACTTTATAACAAGGCATTAGGTATGCACACAACCACCTAAGAGCGTGGTTTTGCAAAGATTTACCCTGCTGTAGGCCCTTTTCATTTTGATGTGCTCCAACAACTATTTGAGTTTACCACAACCTGCAAAGCTTCTGTGGGAGAAGAGAAACCAAAAATGGCCAGAATCTTAGGGTGTAGATTCACACTGGTGTAAGTGTAATGGCATAAACTGTGGCAGCAAATTGCTACTAATTAAGAAGTTGCAGCTACATTCCTTGTTTTATGCCAGTCATATGACTTAGCATGAAACTAATAATGCAAGAGACAATTCATTAATTGGTGGCAATTTGCTGGCTTGATATATGGCATTACATTTATGCCAGAGTAAATTCACAACAGAGGTCTGGCTAACAATTGTGTCAAGGGGTAGTTTGCAAGGCTATTTAAATTAAGTATGAATTTTACATGGGTAGGTCTCAGATTTCTACCTGAAAATCAAAGTGAGGAGGAACAGGTGTATTTCAAAATGTTATGGCATACACACTCATTGTTATGGTTTGGCTATAAGCATGCATATACAGTATACCATGGTTTGCTGCCTGAAATCATAAGTTGGTGCATATATTTATAAATAGGGATGTACAGACTTGTAATATCCATAGTCCACAGTTAATGTCTTTATTCATCATAGTCTGATATGGGTTTTAGTTCACTTCTTTTTCTCCTCCCTTCAAACAGTCACATTGTTTTCATCTGTGAATATCCAGTAATGAAAACTCAACATCATCAACAGATGGTATTCATTTTGCCTCATTCTTCAAAATTTTAATGATCCAGTATATACTATACCAAACAAATTTCAACTGAAAGCCACTAGCATAGAAGTAATGATGTGCTGTAAAACAGAAACTAAATAGAATAAATACAAATTAAATGGAGAAACCAGAACTTCAATTCTGCAGAAATGATGGGAATTGCATGGCAACTTTATTTGCAGGGACAAAAGATCAGTTTTAAAAACTATAGTGTGACTCCTCCAGCACAGCAGAATCTTTAAAAGGAGGATGAGATTGTTTTCCTAACTGTTGTTCAAGAATAGCAGCTGACTGTCTTTCTGAAGAGCTTTGTCGTCTACATATCATAAAAGGAAAGGACAGGGCCAGGAAGACCCAAAAGATCCTTTGCAGTATTTGGGAAATGGTGTTTCAGAACCTAAAAAGCCTGCACTAAAGAGTATCTATTTTTCAGTCAATACTGAAAATCAGACCCTAATACAACGACTCAGAAGGCGTAAGGCAGCCATCTCTAACCTGATACCTTCCAGATGTTTTGGGCTACAACTTCCAGGATTTTTGTCCATTGGTCATGCTACCTAGGGTTCATGGGAGTTGAAGTCCTAAGTATCTAGACGTAACCAGATTGGGGTCATCTGTCCTCTCTAGGACACATACCGCAAGCCAAAGGAGGTGCAACTCTTACGAGAATTATCCATAGTCTGTTGCCTTGGAACCTCTGGCTTTAGAACTGTTGCAGAATCAAATTCAACAGAAATCTGCCTCTTGCTCATTGCAGAAATCAGCTCCCACTAGTCATAAACAATTTTGTCTAATAAATCTAATTTTTATGCTGCTCTCACAACCTGTCCTCTTTTTTACACTGCTGCTCTTCATAGACTGGGCAATGCTGTTTTCAGGGCTCTTCCCTTTGCATGTTCTGCACAATATTTCACAGCTTTGTTGCAATTTATCATGTTATGCTCTTGCAGAAGAAGGGGCAGTACAAGAAAAATTTAAGTAACTAACCAATCAACCAACCAATTGCCAAATCTGCCCACTTAATCATCATATTAAAACACTGAGACAGATACAGCAAGTGCTTGGTTTCACTCAGGACTGGCAAAATTTAATATTTAACTTGAAAGTGTAACAAGCAATGCCTTCTCTGCTTTATAACCTCCTCTAACTCAGTCTAAATAGCTAACTTCAGCAAAATATATGATACGTAGCATTGCAACCACTATTCTTGATTTTGATATGCTCACTTAATTTTTTTTATATTTACTCTGGACCACAGAGATGCCATGTGTAATGTTTGTCTCTCTCCATCTTAGACATACACAGTTTAAAAGCATGCAGTGTAGCACAGGACTGTCTTGTTCACGAAGAAGCAGAGCTAACAAACAACATGTATAAACTAAGGAAAGACCTGAATGAAACAAAAATAATGCTTGGCTTTCCCGGGTTGATGCAGAAATTGAAATGGAGATCTGTTTAATAAACTGAACCTGCTAGTAAATAAAAATTAAGTTAAAAACAAACGAACAATTAACACAGCAGTCCTTTCCAGTAAAGTCACAATGCTGGCAGTACAAAGAAAAGCAGGACCCTCTAGAGATGCGGGTATTCGTATATGAATACAAATATTCCCCCCATAGGTGGAGATAATGAGGGTCCAGCCCCATGGGGCCGGACTGTTCACCCACGATTCCACAACGGAGCCTTCCTATCGCTCCGTTGTCCGCAATGGATTAGCCAGTCCTGGCAGAAGGTGAGATGACAAGCCTCTCTGCCAGGTCGCAGAGTGGCTCATCCACTGCGGACAACGGAGCAATAGGAAGGCTCCGTTGGGCTCGCGTCAGCAGCGGAATCGTGAGTGGACAACCCTTGTTATCTCCACCTGTGGGGGGTATACATATACTAATACCCCCATCTCTATTTGTGACACCTCTTTGGCAAGAAAAAGAGCCAAGCCTACCCTCATTCACTTGGTCTTTTGCCCCAACTGCACTGTGGCTAATAAGTGGCATATGGCTTAATGTCCTCATGTATGTATCATATTAATAGCACTTCCAGAATACTCTCACTCTCCCATACCTGCAACCCATATCTAGCAATGCATGTTCCTTTCCCTATTGATAGCAGCTACAAAAGCAGTAGCTCATGAGCATTCTTATCAAGGAGCAATCCTTTTTGAAGTATGCATCCTGCCCATAGGTGTAGCATAGCTTTTTTTTCCATCAGAGTGAATGTGTTCATCCGGATGGGGAGGGCAAGGGAATGCCTGGCTTCACCATAACTGGTGGGTAGGAGAGGTTGTGACCATCTCAGAAGTTGAGGGGGGAGCCTTGGTACTCAAAGGGGGTCCCCTGAGATGGAGGAGGAAATATTTTTGCTATTGGCCTCTTCTTCTCCCGTGGAGGACCAACAGATGGTGCCGATTCCTCTGCTGCAAGACATGCCTCCAACAACTTTATGGCGTCTTCAGCAGAGGTGGGGCTGTTGTGAATCACCCAATTCTTTGAGGCGAGGCTAATAGTTACTACCAGCTGCTTCAAGTTAGTCCAGCTGCTCCCAGTTAGTTTAAACTATTAGTTCAAACATTTCACTGGGAGATCATACTGCTGATTTTAACCAGTGGGTGACACTAACTCTCATGCACTAAGATATGACCCAAAGTGGAGCCCTGTCCGATGGCACAATTTTCTAAAATGCTAGTGATATTTTTCTTCAAAAAAGTTTAATGTACTGAAAAAAGCTGGCTTCGCTTTCTCATAATCAGTCACCATTATCTATCATATATCTGTAGTGCATTTGTGTTGCTACGCCCTATTTATCATGCATCTCTATTACAGTTGAAAAAGCTAACCATGCTGCATACTGGTAATAGTGAAGTACAGAAGTAACATGGAGAACTGACTTCTTGCACAGTCCTTCCTAAGCCTGAGGTTTCAGAATATCTGTATTACAAACAAGCAATGTGCAGCCATGTGAGAGATTCCAGTGAGTCACATGTTCTTATAATATGGCCTTTCATTAAATAACATCTACGAGTATGAAACACTTCCATCTCAATAAGCTGTATTCATAATATGTTCAGTGTTTTCAGCTAACCAGGAAAGATTTACATTTCCATTCTGTTGGGTATTTTTTGTTCCACATAAAATAGAGATTTTGGGTCTCTTTAATAATCTCTTTCCCCTTTTTCTAGCTGTGAAAGAAACTCTATGAAAAACTTTCCACACAGAAAGAAAATTTAAGAGTATCTAATAACTGTGCCATTTTATAGCAATTCTGAAGAACTCACTGATAGCGGCTTTTCTTGGGTCCCTCTTATGCTCGGTGCAGTCACTGAAAAGAAGAGGCCTCTTCCTTTAATGAAAAACCTGTGGTAATATGCACCACTCTTTTTGAGATGGGTGTGTGTAAAGCAAGAAGTGCATGAATCTCAGGGGTCTTCCATATTAGGGCAGAGCAAATTCAGTTTGACAGGAACTGAATCCCCTTTTGGACTGTGAGGTCCTGCAAAACTACACACTGACAGCAATTCCCAAGTGGCAATGTTTAAAGCAACAATGGCTTTCCCCCTCCCTCCTGTGGCCAAATCATGTTGCTTTAATTTATGGATTAAACTGTGTCTGCACAAAAGGGGACACAAAGCCATTGCACAATCTGAGTTTAGCGTGTAGCAACTTATGACTATTTAGTGTTGTCTTCTCTCTGGCTTATTACAATATCCTGAACAGATTGGCCCATCTGGCAAGGAGCTGGAAGCATACAAAACTGAAACAAATCCTACTCACCAATAACAGTAAGCACAGGGAAGTAACTGTAAGCATAAGGTGAGAGCAGTAGACACACGAAAAATATGCTGAAGTTTTATTTGGTATGAGTTAAAATGAGAATGCACCACAGCAGTATATGTTACCTAGTCCCAGCAAATCATATCACTTAGATTATAAATGCATCATATAAATGTTTACCTGTAAGTTTTCCTGCTCTCTCTGCTGAAGTCTGCTGATCATTTCATTGGCTATGTGTACTAAAAAAAATGGTTACAATTATTTTTCTCACCATTTTACTGTAGCCCACAAGTTTCTAATAAGACAAAATACACTGAGGTGGATATGTTAGCTATGCTTCAGTTCTACTGAAATCCAAGATACAAGTTAATTAAGTCAGTTTCCATTGTTTTAATGGAACTGAAGTGTTAATAATTTATGTTTGACTGCAATCCAACTTACTAAGCAAAGCAGTGATAACCATGGCAACATTCTCATCTAAGACATCCTTTATCAAAATACAGACAAAAGAACAAATGCATACAGGGAACTGCAGTTATACCCTGTTTCCCCCAAAATAAGACCTAACCTGAAAATAAGCCCTAGTATGCTCTTACAGGATGCTCGTAATATAAGCCCTACCCTCAAAATAAGCCCCAGTTAAGTTAACCCCCACCCTCCACCATTGTGCAGCAAGCAGTAGATGACATGACTGTATTTGAAAAAATATAGATTGTTGTACATGAAAACAAATAAAACATCCCCTGAAAATAGGCCCTAATGTGTGTTTTGGAGCAAAAATTAATATAAGACCCTGTTTTATTTTCAGGGAAACATGGTATTTACAATCAAATGCCCACTTAACTCTTCCTTATCTCTGTGTATGTCTTTAAGAGCTATGGTTTGCATGAGATCAGTATATATTGTCATCAAGAAAATGGGACAGTTGAGTGAATTATACAAAAAGAAAAACCCTGATGCATCAAAGTAACTGAAACTTTGTTCTAAGAAAAGTTGAATTCTGTAATCTAAAGAGCTTATACAAAATCCACTAATTTTGTACAGTAGCATTTCTACTGGTACAAGTATCTTCAAAACAAAACCAAAAATCTCTATTAATTTTGATTGCATATATATCAATTCAACTATTCCAATGTCACACAGTTGTAATTTTCCTTGCATATACATCTTCTCATTCTGATCGAACCTTGCTGCTTCACAGCCATGTTCTTGATGGCAACAAACTGAATTACGGAGCATTCAAGGATCTGATGCATTACTAGCGTTGCCCAAAATACAAATAAAAAGAGCACAGGAAATATAACTGACCATAATGCAAAACAGGGGAAGACAGGACTGCATGTACAGCTGGACACTTATTTTATCATTTCTATGTCGGTATTCCTTACTGCCACCCAGGCAAGCTACTTTTAAAATTAGACAACTTTCCCCCACAATAAGAAAAAGTAAGGAATCCTCAGGTAGCATGTATTCCTGCATTTGCATCTCTGTCATCCTTGGGAATGTGGATTATAATGGTGAATACAATGGTTGAAATCCTGTTGTGTACTGTAAACAAAGTAGTAAGATTTGGTCTATACTCCACCAATAAATGCAGAACCTCCACTTTGATTCTCAGGATGGGGGGGCATGCTGGCTTGTTTAGGGATTTGCTGATTTTATGCAACAGGGTTCGGGCCAGTATATCCCAAGCATCATGCTGGTTACTTTATTTAAAGGCACTACTGGAAGATCAATTAACTACACATTAAAAACTCTCTGAGAAAAGCTTGAGAGGTGTACGTATTTGTTATTAAAAGGCTGCAACAAGGGATTCTTAAAGCACTGATAGATCAAAGTTATTTCACCAACCTGATAAATCTAGTGAAACCAGAAGGAGCCCAATAAGAGCCCTGTGCTTGAAAAATATATATATATATATTTGGACAATAAGATCCAGAATTCTCTGGCACTGCAGACTGAAAGATTCTGGGAGCCATAGTTCAAAAATGTAACTGTTTCAGGCTCTGGATCAGAGCCAAACATTAGTCCAGGAATCTGCTTCCCACAGTGAGCAATCAGGTTGCCCTTCACATGGGTTAAGAGGGCAACCTCTCAACAAATGGTCATCAGAGGTATAATGCCTCTGATGCTGGAGGAAATATATGTTGATCATGACTAGTAGCCGTTGAAAGCCATAATCCGAGACCATCATCTTATATCTGCAGTGGTAGACTCTACTGCCGATTGAGGGTGTAGAACTGTAAGGAGGAGGCACTCCTTGAGAGACAGTATTATAAACAGCTGTGCATGACCATCTTCTGCTTATTAAGGAATGGTGGATTCTTTATGACTCACTAACAAAATCAGGGCCAGGAAAGTGAGGAAAAAGTGAACCAGAGAAGTGTCAAATAAGCATTTGCTGTTCAAATAAGAACATCCTGTCCAATATATGAATCTATTGGGTATGTTATTTCACTTCCAGTTAGATACTTGCTTTTGTTACGTGCTGTCAAGTCACCTCCAACTTATGGTGACCCTATGAATGAGCAATCTCCAAAATACTGTATCCTGTCCTCAATAGCTCTGCTCAGCTCTTGTAAACCAAAGCCTAGGGAGTCATTTTTAGTCTTCCTCTTTTCCTGCTGCCTTCAACCTTTCCCACCATGATTTTCTTTTCTGGAGAATCCTGCCTTTTCATGATGTGCCCAAAGAAAGAGAGCATCAGTTTCATCATGTGTGCCTCCAGAGACCTATTTCTTCATCTTTCTGGAAGTCTAGGTATCTGCAAAGCTCTCCTCCAGCAATGCATTTCAGGCAAATCAAACAGCTTTTCTTACTGTCCAGCTTTCGCATCCATACATGTTGATCAGAAAAACAAGAATGTGGATGATCTTGCTCCTGGTGACACATCCTTACACTTGCTGATCTTTTCTAATTCCTTCATTGCTGCTCACAGATTGAATAGATAAGGGGATAAAATGCACCCTTGTTTGACACCTTCACCTACAGAAAACCATTCTCTCTCTCCATACTGTGCATGGGAAATTAAAGCAATTATCCTATAATTATTGCACTCCTTGGCATCTTCTTCCTTGGCAACTGGAAGGTATACTGAATGTTGCCAGTCTGTGCGATTTTGTTTCGTTCTCCATATTTATTTGCATATTCTGCATAGATACTGCAGAGAATATCTATCTGAGAACCAACAGAATGTATCAATGTTCTCTAAACACAACAGCATGGGGAGAAACAAATAACTGCAGGCTTACATCTCCTAAGGGCTTCATTCAGATTTCCATGCATTACTTCCTCACACTTTGGCAGAGTTTCGGCATTTGCCTCAAAAACGGTGTTCTTTAGGTTTTCAAGAACCCGCAATTCACGGAGACCACGTTTTTCCTATTGGAAAAATTGAAAACATTCTAAATATTCTACCAAGATTTGATTATTTGCTGGCATCCAACTACCTTTCAAAAAAAAAAAAAAATAGACTGCCATCTTATATACGTAGGGTGCAAAATCCCACAGTGCGTAAGACCATCCCACTGGTGTAATGTGTGGTCCTTCTGCCCCTCATCAGAGCAACTAGGATTGCTGTTTCCACATCCCTAATGGCAGTGCAAAAGCAGTGATCCTAACCAGGCTCTCTGGGATGGGGAACAGAATAACAGAACTCTTCCTCCTCTTTCGCAGCTGATCCAGACATAGCTGTGACAAATAGTGACAGGAAAGCTGTCATTCCAATGAGGGTGATGGTGGCAAAGGCTTAAGTCTCTCTGTTTGTCAATAACCCTGAAGCAGCTCCCCCCCCGCCCAGTGATCTTGAGGAAAACTGGGAATACAGTTCCTGACCGACAACAGATTTGACTCTCATGTTCAATGAGCTTGTGCACCTATGTTAATATCTATTTGCCTCAGCATAACCCCTAAATTCAGCAGAACAGACCTGTACTGTTAAACAGTATATCTTACCTAGGCCTTGCTTATTTAGACTGCAGTCCTGTATACACTTAGTTTGAATTAAGCCTCACTAAACTCAATGAGACTTAAATATGAGGAAATGTATGTATGACTACACTGTTATCACTGCAAAATATTTTTAACCAGATTAATCTCCACATCTGCATTCTTCTCCTTTTAGTTACTTTTTCAAAAACAAGAGGTTTTAAAAGTCTAAATTTGTTTTTTGATCAATTAATCAGCTACTGTTGAAGGAAAACAGCATAAGGAATGACTGTAGATGTGTTGACGACAACCCTTATTTCACCTTCCAAACAAACTTTTGTCAAATGTTCATACTAGTTATGAACTACAAACTCTGGTTGTAAGGCCACCACTACCACATCTGTACTCAAGTATGGTATGTAGGCTTGTAGTTAAAACACAACCCCCAATACTGTCAAATATACTTCAAACATATGCCACACATCAGGGGTAAATTATGAATTGCACATTTAGAAGGATGTAATTATGAAGGAGGGTATGAGATACAGAGGTTCACAGCTAACAACAACACCCTTCTATCCAGCCTTCTCAAGGTTTTGCTGCCATCTTGTGGCAAATATATTCGATATCCTTTTACAAAAAGATTTCTATGTAATATTTATGAGTGATCATTTTATTGATCATTTTAAAGATGTTTGTGCATGTTTAAAATTATTTAATATTACATGTTAAGAGTATGCAAGGTTCTGCTCCACAATAAATATAAACAATAATTATATTCTGTCCAGTCAGTTCTGACTTACGATGACTCTTTTCAGGATTTTCTAGGTACAGAATACTCAGATGTGATTTACCATTCCTGTTCGAGATGCACTGGGACTGTGCAGCTTGCCTAAGGCTATATAGCCTGAAGAGATATAATGATATTCAAATTATAATTCTCATGCTTTTGAAGATCTGGCATTTTCTAGACACAGGTCCAAAAACGATGTAATCACTCCACAGCTGCACATTTTCTTGGACGCAAATGCCAATTTATTTATTTATTTTATTTGTATCCCGCTCCTGTTAGTGTCACAGCACTACTCTGGGCGGGTAACAGCTCGTAAAACTATTTTGACATGCGTTTAGTGCTTCAGCCTAGTTTTCTTCTCTTCTATTTGTAAACATAATTATTGAAAGTGAAGGACCTGGCATTCATAAAATACTATTTCTTTGAAATCTTTGTGTGACTATAAATTTTAGTTTAGAATCATCATCCTCCCTATTTCCAAGGCACAGTTATTCAAAACACAAGCATATCAAACCTACCTCAAATTCTTTAATGAAATAGCGAATTTCTCCTTGAATAACTGCTCTGTGATCCAAAATGCGGGAATAAATTTCTCCAACATCTAAAAGAAAAAAAGAATGCGTTAATGAGACGCAAACACATCAAAAGTATGTAGGCATTACTGGGGGTCTGCAAGAAATCAGAACGGTTTCCCCCCACTCTCTCAGTCTCTTCCACTTTCTTCCTTCTCCCACTTTTCCTGTGGCTGCAGAGAGGAAACTGTCTCCAGTTTGATGGCGGGGACCTTTCCTGTAGATGCTGCTTTCTGTGTCATAATAAAACAGCCTCTTGATTTTAGAAAGCCTGGGCACAAAGCTTCTTGAAAATGCTTCTCCCCATCTACCATACAGGTAGCCAAACATCTGTCTAGGCTTTCACCATAAAAATTTACTGGATTGCAGTTCTACAAAACAACAACTCCATTGTTTCCAAGAGCAAAAGAAGACAGCATTAAGATTGACAGACATACCATTATTTTATAGCAGTTATTTTTTGGAAGAACTTTTCATAATGAGACTAATGGAATTCCATTTGTACACTGCTACTATTTTATACACCTTCATGGATTACTGCCTTGTCATGGCGAAGGGGCTTGAGTAATTCAGAGAAGCTATAAGCTATGCTGTGAAGGGACACCCAAGATGGAGAGGTCAAAGTCGAGAGTTCTGACTAAACACGATCCACCTGGAGTAGGAACTGGCAAGCCACTCCAGTATTTTGACAAGAAAACCCTATGAACAGAAAAAAAAAAAGCTAAAAGATATGATGCTGGAAGATGAGCCCCTCAGGTCAGAAGGCGTCCAACATGCTACTGAGGAAGAGCGGAGGACAAGTACAAGTAACTCCAGCGCTAATGAAGTACAGGGGTGCCTCGTATAATGAGCGCCCCGTTTAACAACGAATCCGCATAGCAATGCGGATTTTGCGATCGCAAAAGCGATCGCATTGCGATGTTTCCCCATAGGCCCCATTTTCCCACAGCTGACCGGCAGGCACTTCGGAGCGACTGCGGGGTAGGTTTCCCCCGGCGGTCCCTCCGAAGCCTGCACCGCCCAGCTGGGGAGAAAGGCTTCGGAGCAACCGTGGGGGAGGCTTCTCCCGGCGGTGGCTCCAAAGCCTGCGCAGCCCAGCTGGGGGGAGAAGGCTTCGGAGCTACGGAGCTACCACAGGGGAAGTTTCCCCCACAATCCCTCCGAAGCCTGCGCCGCCCAGCTGGGGGGAGAAGGCTTCGGAGCTACGGAGCTACCACAGGGGAAGTTTCCCCCACGGTCCCTCTGAAGCCTGCGTTGCCCAGCTGGGGGAAAATGGCCGCCCGCAGCGTTTTCACACCTCGCTTACCGAGGCGGCGAAAATGGCGGCCGGATGGGGGATTCTTTGCTTAGCAGTGAGTTTTTCCCCAATAGGAATGCATTAAACAGAGTTTAATGCATTCCTATGTGTTTCCCCATAGGAACGGATTAATGTCGCTATGGGTTTCCCCATAGGAATGGATTAACATCGCTATGCGGGGCACCACTGTAGTTGAGCCAAAACCGAAAGGATGCTCAGCTGTGGACGTGCCTGGAAGTGAAAGGAAAGTCCGATGCTGCAAAGAAAAATACTGCATAGGAACCTGGAATGTAAGATCTATGAACCTTGGGAAGCTGGAGGTGGTCAAACAGGAGATGGCAAGAATAAACTTTGAAATCCTGGGCGTCGGTGAACTAAAATGGACGGGAATGGGCGAATTCAATTCAGACAATTATCATATCTACTATTGTGGATAATAGAATCCCATAGAAGAAATGGAGTAGCCCTCATATTCAACAAAAGAGCGGGAAAAGCTGTACTGGGATACAATCGCAAAAATGATAGAATGATTTCAATATGAATCCAAGGCAGACCTTTCAACATCACAATAATCCAAGTTTATGCACCAACCTCCATTGCTGAGGAGACTGAAATTGAACAATT